GACGTTTTGCCCCCTCACTAAAACAGCTTTTCCTCGCCCTCCCGAGTGCATGATAGTCACATAACCCTATATATAGCATAATATACTATATATATACGGTCTTGGTCCAGCATTGCATAACTCTGGTTGCGGCTCACGGCTGAACCCGTTTTGCCTCACACTAAGATCGGCAGGGAAGGGGGCTGCATTTACCGTTATAATCCTTTGATATGGTATTCAATGGCTACGGGAGTAGCCAACGCATTCTCCATCCATCTAGAGTTACCGGTAGTTCATCTCACATTGAGTTTATGGGCATGAAGGAGAAAGCCACAGTGATCCAAAAAAAGGAGAGGAGGCGGGAGATGTGCGGTGGATATCAAGGAGTCCTTGATTTGATATAGGGCTGTGTCTCTCTCTTTTTTTACCCTTTGCGAGTGGAACCGGACGTGCTTGGAGCCATCGACGATCATGGATAATGTATATCCATTAAATTGTGCGTGCGGGGGAGAAGGTGTTTGTCCGATATTTGAAGCGCACCGTGGCAACTGTAGAACAAGCATCTAGTGGAGTTGTTGAAGTTGGTTGGGCGTTTGTTTGCCTGAGACTGGATCAGGAGTCTATCCGTCGGCCCCGCTTGTTGCTCCTTATGGGCGTTCAACGGTGGCTAAACCTGGAAGTCCAAGCGACCCAAACACGTCGAATAGGAACGGTAGCGAGTCAAGACGGGGGAATGAGAATCGTAGCTCGGAGTAGTTAGTTGTCCAGAACATCCACAGATAAGACATTGATTCTGCAGGACGATCTGTTTATTAAACAAAGAGCCCACAACCTTCACAGCCACCACGAATGAGATAGAGTACCATCTCGCTGCTACCTGCTACACCCCCGGCAGGACTTCCGCCGGAGATTCGCTATTTCCTGCACCGCAGTTGACCGTCTAGTTCGGTCCAAAACAAGAGCAAAGTGAGAAAAAAAAGCAGTAAACAAAAAAAAAAAATTTAATGCACAGCCACAAACCCAGCAAGCGCAAAACAGAGATTTACCGCACGGGCCATGCAAGGTACCTTCCTTTAACCTCATGCCAAGACCATGTGGCTACCTGAAAGAGCCTCCGCGCTAGTGCCAGAAAGGGAATAACCCTAATGTTTAACCTTTTCCCGGTCCAATGAGAGCGCGCGCTAGTCCCAATATGGCTGGTGTCCCGTCCGCTCGGTTTCTCCTTTAGGCAGTTTCTGCTCCCTTTCCTGCGCTGGCGTCCTCTTCGGCCAGCCCATTTTCGCCGGAAGCAAGCAGGTTATGCCGAGATCTTCCTGCCTTTGTTATCCACCGTCACCTCACCGTTAATTCCGCGGACTGGAACAAGAGGAGAGCGCTAAAGAAGCAATGGATGGCGCCCTCCATATCTTTTGTACATCATCTCTCCTCTTGGCCCGGGACGCTCGTCCATGATATGCCTCGGAAACCCCTCTGGTGGCAAAAGGATATCAACTAGTTACTGACAATAGGCTAAATGCCAAAACTACCTATACGGAGTATAAGTTTCTTCTTGGAGCCGATCTCCTATCAACCCATTGTGCAAGTCCCCGTCCTCCGTCCTTGAACAGGAGTTTCGACAATTAGCATTCCGATGTGCATTTGCTTCCTCGAATAGATGCCTGAAGTCACACCAGTGGGTCCTCCAAGCGTTCGACGTGCAGATTAGCATGCACACAATTTCCTTCGAGGAGTGGATTGACCAATTGTATCACCACAGTGGCTTTCACTAGCTGGTAGCCCGTGTATATGGGGCCCGGAAGCTCCTAAGCGTACAAGATGTCCACGTACCTTAGCCAGCCCAACCCCCATTCCATGATAAGCCCAAAAAGGAATGACGGAGACATATAGCTCGTTCAATTATGTTTCTGTTGGTCATGCATTGCTGCAATGCTGCGTGCCGAGAAGATAGTCAGCTTTTGATGGCAGCTCTGCATTTAGAAACGAGTGAGTAATTCTACCGATGGAGCCTGGTACACAAACGCTCATTCCAGCCACTGTGGCGAGTATCTCGCACACATTCGAAGAGAGCTACACCAGGATAGAACGCCACCTACCGGTTCTACCTTAGGTAATGGGTAATGTAATGTGCTGGTCCAGCATAACGCCGTCGTGTTCACGACGCAAGCCACATACATCTATGCATTACGTGGAGACCAAGAACTTCGTGAGGAATGCATTGAATAAGGTTTTTTTGTTCAGAAAAGTAGCATTTCTGTCCCTATGGTTTTTCTGCCGTGAAAAAGAGTTTGAAGGCCCGAAGGAGAGGTGTAATATGGTGTTGCTATGAAATAAGGGGGGCGCCATCCTGCAACGCGGTCGTGGACAGTAGTCAAAGTAAATAAAACGAAACAAAAAAAAAGGACGTCAGAAGTCATGCGATGCCAGTTCGTAATTCCCGTGACAAACAGAAAAATGAAAAAGGGGGTGGAAAAGCCATGCCGTCGCTAAATCCTGTATCCAAAAACAAAGAATGGGGTATCCATCCGTGCCAAAACATGCCCTCCACAATATGCCAGAGTAACAAAAGTCCAATTTTTTAGTTCCAGAGAGGGAGGGGAAAGGAAGTGTGGGTGAAGAAAAGAGAACAAGGTTACCAAAAGCAATGCAAGGGCCAGTTGGTTAGGGGGCCTTCAGGTGGAGAAAATGAAGGCCTACCCCCTCATTCCGAAGACATGAGGCTCCTCTGAAGCAAACAGGAATCATGCCCAAAGAAATTAAAAGGAAAAGAGAAATGAATCGGTTGCCCAGCAACCCCCGAAAAGAACGGAACCCGGTTCCGGTAGCCGCAGATAGAAAATGACAGTAGTAGATATGCGAGTCGACATAGAGGGGTGGTTGTCGTAGGGCGGGATGATAGACATTAGTATTACTAAGAGTGCGACCAAATCCAGTTCAGTATGGTGCTCAGGGAAGGGTCTTCGTTGAGCCAGTAGCCTGCACGAACATCGGCGGAGGCAAGGGTGCTCAAGACATAACTATCCGTAATCCTCGAAAGCTCCTAGGACAAGATATTAGAGTAAAAGTCAAATATATAGCAGAAACAAGGGCGGCGGGGGGAGAAGAGGGCGGATGAAAAAATTTTTCGTACAGTACGGAGGGTATCGTCTAGAGCAGCAAGGGCAGCAGTATGATGAGAGCTGGGGCGTTGGTCCTGGAGCACCTGTGCTCGGCCCATCGCCCATCGTCTGGCTGCCGCCATGCGCTGATAGATCTTGTGTGCCTGGAATCTGCGTGCGCTGGCATCGAGAATAATCCTTATAATTATTTTAGCAAAACATGGCCCCGGGGCTTAACACAGTATGACAGTATTACCTCTGTAGCTGGACCTTCTCAAATTCACCGTCACCTTGTAAATTTTGTATAGACTGGATGTCAAACTGCGATGCCAACAGCTCCTGAGCTTCGGCAACGCATTGTCTCATCAGGACGTAACCTTGAGCCACCTCTGCCATTTCTGTAGCGTCTAGCTTCAGCTGGGAGATATGAACAAGCAATGTTCGGAAGTCATTGATGAGTTCAGATACTCGTAGAGCACGTGCTTCATTGTCTATTTCAAGGTGTAAGCAGGAATGCACTACGCCGCAACGTGGTTATTGTGAAGAAGCGTGAAGTCAAAAGGAATACATACATCCGTCAGACATGTTGGAAGGAAATGGCCCGGTTTAGGTATATATCAGGTATTAAAGGTGTTGTATAGAAAATAATAGGTAGGTCCTGTTGAGACGCGGCGAGTATGCTAATTCAATGTATAGAAAGAAGAAATTAATGAGTGTTCCTCTGGTCGAAGTGGATGTTGTTGGTCTTGTTGATGGAGAGGGATAGAAGATTATTATCTCCAAACGGCGGGAAGAACCGAGTTTAAAAGCACAACAACTCACGACCAGCCAACATGTTGAACTTGATGGTATCTAAAAAAATAGATCCCCCCCGGCCATCCAATGGCGCTGAAGAGGAAGACATCGGACAGATCACCGAGTCAGAAGAAAAACGAGAACCCAGGTCACCACCAAAGCTCCGTACGACGAGATCATCATGGTATAGCGATTGCTAGTGAACGAATGGACAGGAGCCCAGCAAATGGGTCTTGCCGTCGGAGCTAGCAGGCATTGGCATAACGCGATGCATGTCTTGTTTCCTTCTACTGCTGCACTTGCTATCCTCGCCTGCTTATCCGTCGGATAGACTCTAGCGAGCCAGGTAGCAAAAAAGCCTCCAGGGGCCAGCTCGCGCCTGCGTCAGCCACAGTTCGATATACGCCACAGAGACGCCCGAAGTAGGCTAGCGCGGCCGCCGCCGCCAGCTGACTTTTCCTGCCATCGCCACGCTTACAAAGCCGCCTGTGTTTTGCTTTTGCTGCGATGGCAGACGGAGCAAGAGAGGTGTCTGAGGATGGATATGGGCGGTCCTGCAGGAAACGCTGATGCTCCGTATGCAGGCCCTCTGCAGCAGCTGAATAGACCGTTGCTGTCCGGTCTGCGTCTACTGGCCCTGGTCACAGCCGCTTATCGTAGCACAGACCAAACGCTATCCGTGCGTGAATGGCGATAAAATCGACCTTTCACTGGGCTCCTTGCTGTTCAGGGGGTGAATTGTCCCGAACTCCGAATGCAGCGGATAAGCATAACCTGCAGGTCAGGGAAGCACCGTCAGAAGGCGAAAAAAGAGGGCTTCAAGGCAGCTCTGCTTCTGTTGTTCATAGGCTCCTCAGGCTCATGCAGGTATGGACGTCCTTCCACAGACCTCTGGCAGTGCGGATTGATTATCAGGCCGACTCTTGATCGCCTATACAAGATCAATTAAGGATGCCGATAATGCCTTGTATAGGTCAGACATGATTGGAAAAGGCTCGGTTTTGATGTTGACTGGGGAGACCTGAACTAAAGGGGCTGTTCTCCCGCACAAAAGAAGAAGAAAATATACCTAAGGAGAAGTTGAGGAGCAATTGAGTTTTCGAATTGTATGAAGTAGAAGCCCTGCATCATCAATTGGATCAGAAGAGGGAAATGAGATATTGAACAAATTAATCCCTTTCACTGATGGCCTGTAGCCGTTCTTCAATCTCATCCTCAGTCAACGTGCGGAATGCGGTTTGTGTACCCTCATTGCCATCTGCACGGGGTCCACCAACAATGCCAACCTCTATCTCACCTTTCTTGAAATCGACACTCAACACAGTCCCCAATGTTGTTATTGCCAGCTCCACAACTTCCTCCCAGCTTGCACCCCCGTCTTCTTTGTTCTTCAGCTTCTTCTCCAGTAGATTTGTGACTTCCTGCTGCTTAGGTCCTGAGGCGGTGGCGCGGTATCCAGCATAATACCCGGCAGGATCACACTTGAATAGCTGAGGACCATTTTCAGAATCAACTGAGATTAGAGTTGTTGCAATACCCAGTGGTCTCATGTAGGCCTAAAAAGAAAAGTCGGTGTTAGCTGAAGTTTTGTCTCGGCGGTCACGGCAAGTTTATACACCGTCCTGCGTGAGAGTGTCGAGTTTGAGGTAGACAAACCCTTTGTGTGTACACCTGGTTGATGTTGGCAAGTCGCTTTGCAAGAACATCACAAGGCATTTCATAGCCGAATTTGTACTCAAACTCCGCAGCCTCGCTTTGTGCTCGAGTAACTTGTGCTCTGCCGTCGGCTATCGAGCCAGTTACGACACATCCAACAGATGGGGAAATCTTGAAGACATGGGATACGGAGGATGGTTCAATGAGCTTGTCCTATACAGTATAGAATCCGTCCGTAAGTTAGCAACTACTTCAGACCACCACGGAGCTTAATTTCGTCCGGTATTATATCTTTATCGTACCGGAACTTTCTTCTGGGATATAATCACGGCGCAGTTCTTGCCTCGAATTCCAAGTGATGTGATATTTGCAGCTGTGATGGCTTTGAAGGCATACTCTAACCACACAGGATAGGTTAGCACTCTCCCCGGCGCGGAGGAGTCAAAGATAGTATCACTAACCAACTTGGTACAGCCTCCCCTGGTCTGAAAATATAGTAATATGTCTATCGTAACCCGCGCTTCCTGTAATAGTGATGGTTTAGCTGGGTGGGACAACGTCAACATCACCCACTTATCGGTGAGGCGCTTACCAGACATGATGGTTGAGGATGGACGAGGTCAGAGTGTGAAACAATAACAGGCCGTGATCTCTATCTATGCAAGCGTTCTAGAGAAATGGTGAATGAGCGATGGTGGTTGTTCTGGGAGCAAGGAAGCTAGATGTCTTTGGTCGTTGAACGCGTTTGCTCTGAAGCTGCCTTGGAGTAGCTCAGGCTGGCTCGATACCCCGTTTAGGCTTAGCGCCGTATCCTTAGCATCAAAAAGTATCAAAAACAATTTTCGCATTTTTCTCAAAGTTCAATGATAGAGAAGCCATTTGGCGATTCACTTCTTTTCTAGCGCTCTGGAATACTCTTCTTTTTCGTTACATTTAGTCTGGGTTCAGCCTCATCCGCTTTGGCTCTGTCAACACAGAATTTAGCAATTGACATTTTATACCTGTTCTATTTTAGCTCCGATACTGGTCGTTGAGCACTAAGATAGACAGCTCACCCTGCCTCAGATGGGATCTACGCTGCTTTCCGCCCCTAAAAAGGCTGGAAATAAATCAAAACCTTCTAAGCGTTCACCTAGCAAACACACTGACTCTGCTGATGAAAATTGCGGGAGCGATCAAGTCAAGTCAAAGAAGCGAAAGACCGCTGCGCCTGAAGAACTGGATCAAATAGAGAAGAACGAACCAGAGGAAGCTCTGATACCCGACAATGAGAGTATAAAAAGTTCAAAACCTAAGCTTCGCAAGTCTGTTACCTTTTCAGAGGACACGAAGCCTGACGATGATGCGGCTATGGCTGATTCTGAACTTACCGTGGATCCTGATGATGACCCCGACTCGCTCGCAAACAGAAGAGCTGCTAAGAGACGCAAAAGAGAAGAACGCAGGAAAGATCGAAACATAAATGTACAAGCAAAACAAGAGGAGCCTAAAACCCCGTCTGACCCAATTCTATCCTACCTTGCAACGTACTACAACTCCAGGAGTGAATGGAAATTCCAAAAGAATCGAGACACAGCTATATTGAAGAATTGCTTCTCAATAGACCGGATACCGCCTAGCTACGACTTTGCGCTGAAAGCTTACCTCTCCGGCTTAAAGGGAGAGGCAGCCAAAAAGCGTATCGTCGAAGCCGCCAAGGAAGCCATATCAAATGATGACAAGAGCGCAAGCGATCCGACGACGGCAGATGTTGAGACCCAAAGATCCATGTACGATGATGCAGTCGATGCATTTAGGACTCGATTGGAACACCAGGATGAGAGCCAAGGAGACGATGAGATACCTGCGGACCTAAGTTCGTCGTGGCATAAAAGGCTAAAAACAAGGAGACGAGCTGAGTTGATACTCTATCTCTTCCGTGATAGTCTTCCAAAGCCGCCTCCACCGAAGAAAATTACGCGGAAAACCAGGACGGCTGTTGTCTCCGATTCAAGTAGTAGTAGCGACAGCAGCAGCGATAGTGAGACTACCAGTGATAGTGGCAGTGACAGTGAGAGTACTAGTGATAGCACCAGTGACAGCGAGGACACCGATAGCAGCGATATATCCGGCTCTCGTTCGGTTCAAAATGGCGTGGCACTAAAGCGGAAGAGCCAGGAGAGTGTTGCTGCAAAACCCGAACTGGACTCTTCCGATTCCGAATCCAGTTCTGGTGAGTTATATGCCCGTTTCCCTCTTGGGCGATCCGAATTCTCTTTCGAGCCGATATGCTAACTAATTTTTTACAAAAGCTTCTGATACCACATCATCATCCGGGTCTGACTCATATACAGACTCTGACTCGGATTGATTGATACGCATTCGGGCTCTGGTATTATTTGACATTTGTATATCCTCTAGATCTTACTTAATAGCACAAGAGTGTTTTTTCTAGATTTAGACTCAATACATGATGGTAACCTCTTATTCTCTATCATCTATTCTCCGATATCAAGTACAAGCATTTCGTTACACATTACTTTGAAGCAAAGGTACCTGCAGGGTGAAAGTGATTAAGCACACAATTAGACATCGTTAACTTCTGAGCTATGAGAATCAGTCATCCGGGAACGCGGGACTCATCGTCATGAAACGCCAGCAGCCTTCTCCTGATCCCTGTCCGCTGTTGACTCTCCACTAGGGTTACTTGTGCCTTTCCTCTTATCCCGCGAGGAAACTCCACGTCTTCTCCTGCTAACTTGATATACATCATTGAAATTCATCACTACCCCTAGGAAACGCATGTCGACATCGGGTTGGTATGCGAGGTCGCCGAGCAGGGTGACAAGGCGAACACGGAAGTCCGAGGACAGTTCACGTAAACGCTCTCGGAGAGAGGGTAGTAGGTGGTCTTCACCGCCTAGAAGTGCATCGCCACTGGGAAGAGGTGTCCCCGGTGTATTTGGGTCCGCAGTCCACCATCTTTTCTGATTTGGTGGCACCTCAACAACCCCAAAAGCAGGAGAGTCTACTCTCCGGGTTGAACCAGATCTGCTTGGGCGCGTAGGCGGTTCCTGCGCGTCCTTATCAGTGACGCCCCATCGGCCTTGTGCTGTGCGGAGTTCAATTTTTGCGTTTAGCTCTTGCCGGCGGGTAAATTCTGCAACGGAGAAGGAGTATAAACCGTCCACCGCATCCTTGTAGGCAAGCATCACTTTGAGTATTTGATGAAGTTGAGACAGAAATGAATCTTCTTTACTTCCAGAGGAGCGCGAGAATGAGGATGAGGAAGAGCCTAGCAGACCTTTGTGGGTAATGGAATTAAGGTATTTGGTATGCGCCTCGATAAGGTCATCCAACGTGCATCCCGGTTTGGAGATAGCGATTTGTAACTGGTCCCAGCTGGCTTCAATGACTTCGAATAAAATATAATATTGAAGTTGACAAACAAAATGTATCATCTCAGCGATAACACAACGGGCCTTTTTCCAGTCTGCTCCAAGTTTATCGTCCACACCACCTAATATTCCTCTTGCACCAGTCATGCAGCGTCGCCATGTACTTCCCAGTGCAAACTCGACTCTTTTCACCCTCCAGAGGAAATTGAACACTTTGAGGTATTGTGTTGAGGCCCAGGGGGTAATGATGACATCTACCGGAGCATCAATCTTATATTCCAGCGTGAAGCAATCCCAGCCAATTTCGCCGTGACTAAGTTCGAGCATGCGTGCATCTAGGCGCCTCAATACTTCGGGGGAATCGTGCTGGGCGTTAGAAGACCGTATAGCATGCTCGAGCTGGGCAGTCAAGGTATGACGGTACTGAGAGTTTGCAGGTCGATCAAGATTTGAGGCTAGACTTTCCATAAGCAGTGCAATGAAATCTCCCTGACCAAGCAGCAGGTATTTTTTCAGAGCTTTGAGATGATCAAACAGTTTAAACTTAGTGTCCATAAGGAAGATAAGACGAGCCATTGTGGTTTTATATGCTTCGTCAATATAGGTTTCAAGGGTAGCATTGTCGCCATATTGCAGTGTCTTTGATGATTCACGAGAGTATGCCACAACCCACGCCGAATCTCCACAGCCATACCTAATGAAATTGAGTGATTTTCCAATCAAGAACACCTTTTTTGCGAAATCCTGTGTCATGATGGTAGGAACCATGTCACTATCCAATTTATATTTCTCGTCCCAAACGCTAGTTGCTGCTCGTCGTGGGTCAATGTCCGGTCGAGTTTCTGGTTCCACGACAAAAAATTCGTTGTAGGGGTCCGATAGTTCACCATCGTATATCCATTGCCGAAGCATATTGTAAAATGGCCTCGTCACATGAGTCAAAAGCCTCTCAGCATAAGCACTAACAAAAGGGTCACCGTGCGAAGTTGAAAATTCATGAATCATGGATATCAGCTGCCCTCCTCTTTTATTCTGGGCTTCCTCTACCATCAAACTCATTAACCGTAGGGCAAGGGTGGCATCTTTCACCCATACAACGCATCTTTTGAGAGTCACTCCAAGCCCCATAACTGTTTTCTGATCGGACGAATCTTGAGAAACCGCAGTGAAAGCTCTCCTTATTTCCCCTTCTAAACTTGCTACCAAGCCGAGGTAAGACCGCAGCTCGCTGCCTACAGCTGCTCTTAAGCTCTGCTCAATCAAACCACCTTCAGCCTGTTTCACAAAATTGGATAATCCTCGATACAATAAGCATGGCTCAGCAAGTGTGTGTAGAAGAGAAACTATAGGTGTAGGCAGAGTTCTTGGGAGTTTTAGAACGGATTGTGCCGAAAACTCAAGATTTGTTGTCGATAATCCCTGTAGGAAGAATGGAAGATCACGAAGGATTTCTGGCTCTGATGGTTTAACCACGATAATATCTTGAATGGGAGGGTCTGGTTCCTGGCTTGGTTGCTCGGCTGGAATGAAATCATCAATGTCCCTCACGGTTGAGCCTGACGGTTTTGGGTCATCCTCAATTTTACGTTTCCGCTCTGGTTGCTTGGACGGTTTCGGGTCCCTCCACTCTCGTTGAGATTGGCTCAGCTCAATAGGCGATGCTTCTCTTCCGATTGCAGAGGCCGAAGACCCGGGATTAATGCTCTCTGGCGCATTGGTTCTTCTTACTCCGAATTTATCCTTCATCGACATGTAATCCAACTGGCGTTCGTCAAGTAACGGGCTACGAGCTCCCTCTCGTAGCAGGTTTCCGTCCCTTTGGTCTGCATCCCCGCCGCGTGCTCCAATACGGTAGAGTAAATATAGTATAGCCCATTTCTGGCTTAAGACGGGCTGGGTAAGAAGCCGCGAGTAGAGATTTGAGAATCGCACAGCTTTATCCGGCGTTGTGTTCACTTTCAATAATCTGCGCTTGATCAGATCAGGTGCATTGTTGATAACCTCAACGGAGACCTCAGCGCTTGATCCAGGCTGATTCTTGTTACCACTGCCATAATTCCTGATAATACGCCAAGCGGTCTCCAGAGCAAGCTGGTGTCGGAGCTCATCTCTTTCTGCCGCTTCTGCGCGTGCGTGGCCGTCGCGATACGATTCAGAGCCGGTATCATCATCTAGGATATGAGGACTGGGAGGGAGAAGGGAGTCAACTAGCTGCGAAAGAGCATCTTCGATACGGCGGCTCCGGGGGTTCGCGGATCTCGGATGAGGAGCCATCGCGCAATGCATAAGAGGCTGGCATCTGGGCAGATATGTATGCCTTGGATATTATCCTATTCCTCTCGAGGTCTTATCAAAGTCGCGACCCAAAATGCTCTAATTACCTAATCAGGAACAAACTCCATGTTTGTACTGTTTGCACACTTGTAGTACCAAGACGGGAAGGTCAGCCTCATCCAACGAGCCACAGAGAGTGGTCTCGTTAAGGGGTAGTATGAGGATTAAGATACAACGCTCTGTACTCTGTATGGAGGTTACTTTATTTTTAGCGCCTTCTCTAGTTAACGATGTATTCATCACCTACTTTTATTCAACTAACTACAGATAGTTACTGAGTTACTCCGTACAGCTAGGCTGTTGTTTACTCGTAACCATCCCAGGGGAATAAGTCCAGTAGGCAATGGAAACGCTTCCATTAAGTAGATTATCCGTGGTAGCTAATAAGTATGTATACCCCATTAGTTAATCAAGAGTATTCCACAGTCCAACCTCCCTCCCCCCCCCCCCGAGATCGTTTGTTTTTAGACATCGAAGTACCCCATATATATCTCTGCTATACGCGAGTCTACTACGACTTGACTACCGTCAATAATTTTCACTAATTACGTTTACATTATGACTGAGCTGGCTGGCATTTGGATTATTAAAAGGAGCTACCTAATAAATG